GCATCACTCTCGTCAGGTCCTTCATGCTAGTACCAAGATTGATAGTACGTGACTGAATCGCCTTGCTCTCGGCTACCTAGCTCACCATTTACAGATAATTTGCGGTTACTGGATCTTCACAATGAGGGATACATAAGATATTTCACCGGTAATAATGACCAAGTGACTTGCTTGGCTCAATCCCCTGCGAGCGACGCCTTCATGTCCTGCTCCAAGGATGACACTGTGACATTGTGGGATCTGAATTCGAGGAATCCGCAGGGAAAGCTCAACCTTGCGACACCATACCTTGCTGCCTTTGATCCTTCGGGTTCAGTCATTGCAATCGCCTCTCAATCCACCGCTGCAGTGCTTCTTTACGACTTCCGCAACTTTGACAAGTCGCCCTTCTCTACATTCGATCTCGCGCCATACGAGGAGAGATTCACGCCGTCGACGCGAGGACGAGCATGGACTCGATTGGAGTTCTCCAACGATGGAAAATATTTGATGGTTGGAACAGACTACCATGGCCACTATGTTCTAGATGCCTTTGATGGTACACTCAAGGCCTTCCTGGCTGGCAAGAGTGGAGCGTCTGGTCGTGCTGCACCAGTGTCCACGACCGGCAAGCCTCTCGGACAAGGTGACGCTTGTTTTAGTCCCGATGGTCGTTATGTTATTGGAGGCAATGGTGATCAGCCCGGTATGCTTGTGTGGGACTTGGGACAGATCGGCGGGGGAGAGATCACACTGCAGCCCTCGGCCAGGTTGCCTGCTCCAAGCTGCGCGGCCATGGTGGAATACAACCCGCGTTACAATATGATCGCCAGTGCCGACAAGGAAATTATTTTCTATGTCCCCGACGACCACGGCAAATCTTCGGAGAAGTAAATCAAATCTGATGGTGCGATGGAAAAAACCAGATCTCCGATTCGCTCTCAAACTTTCAACCAATCATTGTCTAAAGATACACTGGACGACTAGATGCCCCGCGGAACAATGGGACCGTGTTCACAAATTGTCAAGGTCAAGAAAAGTGCTTTCTATTCTCTCCGGTCTAGCAGATGAACCTCTATGCTTATGCTTTGCGATCTTTGTCTTTGCCCACCAAACTTCGTGCTGTGTCACATATCCAAACGTCAGGGCCTTCTAGGCTATCATCGCCCTTCCGGTTGTCCTCGACGGTGGCCTCGATCTGCTTGTCGATTGTGCGATTGCTGGAAATGGTCGTCAAACTGGTAACCCAACCGTACAAAAATACACTATGGTTGATATCCGAAAGGTATTTATCAACTTCATGTACCACTGGATGAAGGTTACCCTGTGTCTTGGCCGCATCAATCACTTGCTGGGATTCAACCACTTTGATGGGGAGTCTCCAATTTGCGGGCACCTGATAATCAGACAATTCTTGAAACTTCTGCAGAAGAGCCTCACAATCGAGTTGTTCGTATGGTGGATCTCCCAGCAACATGCGAGATCGGCTCTTCTCCGTCTCTGTCCCAATGGTATCGACAATTTCCCGGAAGCGCACTGCAGCCTCTGTGGTGGATAGGAGCTCACGACCATCCATAGACGGCCAGAGCTCGGAAGTGAGCAGTGGTTTTTCCCGCTCAACCTCGATTTGTCGAACGATGGCTTTATGGAAATGGGGTGATACTGGGATGTCCTTAATATGAGACAAGTCAGACACCAAGGCAAGGAGTAAAGTGCAGTCGACATTCAGTGTCGAAGTGAAGTTTTTGAACGGTTGAGGCAGGAGATGGGCTAGCCCGGTGCGAGTCTCTGCTGGCAGACTCCCCAGGCAATCAACGCGAATGCCATAGCTCCGCATCTCGTTCAAGACAGCGTCAATTTCAGGAACACTTCCTTCTTCAATCTTAGGTATAACAACCCGTAGCCGAGGATGTCTATATCTAACACGCGTAGCATCAGACGCCTTCCTTAGATCCCGGGCCAGCTTAATGAGCTCCAGCTCATCATCGTCATCCCCGTCATCATCTTCATCAAAGTTCTGCAAAATAGTCCGCCCTTTACCCCCGTCAGACCACTCATCCTCATCACTATCACCTTCCCAGCCCTTCTTCGCCATCTCGAACAAAAGCCGGCTCTCCGAGATAGTAGACACCTTCACCCACTCCTCCCCATCATCAGCCACAATATCCACAAACACACTCTTGCGCTTATCTTTGTTAGGTTGCTTCACCGGCTGCGCAGCACCACCACCCTTCTCCTTCCCACTCGCACTCTTCCTCTCCGTCATTTTCGTCTCCCTATCCCAATAAAACCTCCTACCCAGCGCCACCAACCCAGAACAAGACCCACTCGCAATCCTCCAGACAGCCTGATAGAACGGCAAATTGGACGAGCGCAACGCATGCACCAATCGCAGTTCCAAATCAGGGTCACGCGACCCTGTCACACCATCTTCCGTTCCATTGGTTTCTGGTCCAGCGCTTGTCCCTCCAATCGCCTCCTCAATCTGCTTTCCCAACTTCTCCAGCATCCTCAGCTCGGAGAGTACGCTGGAGCGGAATTGGCGCACCTCGACAAGCTGTGGATTCCGCAGCGTAGACGCGAGGAGAGATTGGTAGGCATCGACCTGGGAGAGTAGGTCGTTACATTCTTGATTCAGCTGGGCTGAGAGAGCCGTGCTCGTCCTAGAGCTGGGTTCTGGTTTCGCGGTGGCGGTGCTTGTGTTGTCATTGTCGCTTTCTTTGTCGGAAGTAGAGGACCGGTGTTCGGGGACATGGGGATGTGTATCTGGTGCCATTGTGTATTTTTAGGCACCGGTTGCATGCATGTGATGATAGGAGATTGTGATAATGCCTCGCATATGCAAGTGAGGTTTGTGCTAGGATTGTTGGTTTGTTGTTGGAGAGTTGGAGCTGTTGTTTTGCGGGTTTGCGGGGCAGCGATAAAGATTTCTTTTATCGGAGTATATCCCTGGCAGAAGGTAAACCCAGAGCTATTTCTTGCCCTATACCCAAGTTATTTGCACCAATTTGTCATTATTGGTAAGATATTCTACCCTCTGAAACTTTCCAGAACTAGGTGGGCATAAGAAACTAGATTCAATCTTATTGGCTAGATAGATGTGTAAATGACTCATGGATGTTGTGAAAATCCATCCCAAGACCCAAGTGGGTACCCCGTATAACTTGTAAAGGATCAAAAATCTGACCTCTCGTTTTATACAACTAGTAGAGCTTGTAACCTTATTGCGCGGTGTAAATGGGCGATTGACATATGGCCTGATTCCCGTATCGTTATAGTGCCTACGAGTACTTAGGTGATAGGGAAATCGGTAACAGAAGCGACAGCGGAGGTTAGACTTCCTGTCCAGATAGCCTCAAACACAATAGGAAGGGGATGGAAGCGAGCTCAATCTCAGGGTACAGCAGCAACAATACTGCCGAGCTGACCACCCAGCGCGACTGCGTTTTCCACGGCCTTATCTCGTCTTGCGACACTTCATAAGCCACTAATTCGCACGAAAGACCATCAAAAACGATTGAACAGGAGATAAATCAAAGTATATTGACCAGGCACCGCATTGTACAAATACTCTCACGAAGTTCGTTGCAAACCCATGCCATTGAGATTGAATGAGAACTCAACCCCCCTGTATAAAAACCACTGGTGGGATGCGTAGCCATAGTTCACAGTATTCCAAGGCAAAAAAGGCTAGAAGTTGAAAACCCCATAGGCAGCCAATATGGGTATAGCCCAAAGCCCCTTATATAGAAGGATAATACTGAACACTGCCAGTGCTTCGAATAGTGGCTGTTTCTAGGCCATCAGCACTGTGGACAGCGGATTCGACCACCTGCACAACTGCCGCAGGTAACAAGTCGTCTTAAGTGTCCAGTTCCATGACAATTGAAGCAACTCTCACGCAGTCTATTAAGCCCAGAGCCCATACATGCTCCGCAAACTTTATATAATCTCCCAGACCCTGCACAGACTGAGCATTGTAGGGTTCCCCAGCCGTGACAGTTGCGACATAACCCCGACATTGTGAAAGAGTATTGGATTCTATTCACCGTTAGAGGGATAATATCAATAATAAGGTGCGAGGTAGGGATACAGTTGCCTGTCCTTCGTGTTAACCGATGAGGCCCACGGGGTAAGTATGTGTAGAAGACTTAGGGAGGTAGGGAAATTAACCGCCTTAGATTCGGTAAGACAGAGGACTAGGACAACTTATATAGATTTCTGCCAGCAAGGCATAGACCATAAAAAGCCATGTTGCTAAACAAGGCTATGGCAATGAGGCACTCTAGTTGGATCCCATTACGGAGTAGTCACTGAGGCGTACTCTCTAGGCTTTTCCGGATGAGGGAAACTGCGCCATCTATGCTAATTTAGCCTCGCATATACGAACTGGCGCATAATGCAACCTCGTCCAATAGATTTCCGCATGACCCAATATAACCCGACCCAACGTTAGGTCCGGGTTACGATTGGATAGGGATAGTAATTACTAGGGATACAGCAGCTTTGACTGGCCGCACAGCACATCATTGTGTCAGCCAAGATGGGCCAACATTACTCCCAGGGCTAGCTTGTGGTAGTTAAATGACCCACACGGTGGAGCTCACAGAGCCGAATAAGCTAGGTAGAATCAATATTGTCAGGGCGTTCCATGTATTCTATCTTCAGACGATATCTTGAGAGGGGCTCCGAAGCGGCTTTTGGTGCCCGGAACAGTGCTGCCTCGGGGATTACAGCGGCGATCACGGCGGGGATCACTGATCCCCGCTTACCCTCGGTATACAATAGCAGAATGTATCTCTGTTGGGATCCGAGGTAGAAGTACGGAGTACAGTAGAGTAATTTATAAGTTGGCACCAGTGGGCTATCATGGTCTATGACACCAGTTAAGGCAAAGAAGCCATTGCGGTTCAAGGGCCGAAAATAGACAGGCTCAACACATTTTGCCAGAACAATGATACTAGCAAGCCCATGCTACGTCGTCTCAATAGCCGTAGGTGTTAATAATTTAAGGCCAGCAACTAAGCAAACGTTTCCTCTCTCTCCATCTCCTTTTTCCTCTTCTTTATCATTCGTTCCATCCATTCCTTGGTGTACTCATCGACGTCCCAAGTGAGGTTCCTCTTCTTCTTCTTCTCCTCTTTCTTCTCTTCGAGCTTCAATTCCACATACTCCTCGATGAGCTTCACCTCTCTGGGATCCAATAGATGAAGTCTACTCCGCCATACTTCACAAGTATTATCATCTTCATGTCTGGTTGACCCGAAAAATCGCTGGTCAGTCTTCTTCCAATATATCGTGTCGAAGGCAAAATTGTTCCTTGCAGCGTACATGATCCAAAAGTCTCCGCTCTGCCAACTGTACTGCATCCGACTAGATAGCCGCTGGCCTTCTACCAGCCGTTTGTTCTGGATTGCCTGATCTTCACATTTCTGCATTGCCAGAAGACATACCGGAAGCCGTTTCTTGTACTCCGTACACCAGTCATCAAGGCCATTAGGCCAATCTTCCGGCTTTTGAAGAAGCCACCAAGGCGGCGCATGAGTGAACTCGACTGGGGCGGTATATGTAAACTCCCAATCCACCACTCCAACGATGTTTTCAGCTTTATCAACTAGAACATTTTCTGGTCGAAAATCGTCACACCAAACTGGAAATGGGCCATTATCATGGAAAATCAATTGTTTTCTCTGCTCTTGGTCTCGAGCAAGTTTTCGAAAAAGGAATCTGGCCATAAATTTGCGCCGGTAGTTATCCGCTAAGACATCCATATCGATATCCATATCAATGTCTGCCTCGTTTCTTTGGCTTATGAGGTGTGAGATATGAAGTTCTGCCAAGGCTTCAAAGTATGACGACCCTTTGATCGGGGTAACGTCCCTAGCTGTACAATTTCGTTCATAGAATAGGACAGAGGCCGATGTAAGACTTCCCACGTAGAGAAGGTGTTCTTGCCAATAGATCCAATCCGACTTAAAGATAGTGTAGATAGAGAAAGAAGGATATTGGCTAGCTTTTTGTAGAGAGTTTCTAGCCTAACCGACTCAATGTTCGGATCAAGTACTGGAGGTTGTCCTGCTTGGCGCCCTGGTGCCTCAAGAAGATCACCCATACTTCTCTCGTGGTAGATATAGTTCATGATAATGAATGGCCCTAATTCCGAGGGACTCTCTTTTGTCTGTCCCCAGCGAAAGACAGAAGGCACCGGAATTGGGATTTCAGCTGAAGTTTTTTCCAGGAGAAATTGCATAATAGAGACCTCATTACGGACTTTCTCTTCGGGAAAATGATAGCACCGGGCAGTGGGAACCATATAATAGCGCCGCAATGATTGGTGAAATCCATCTTGAAGCAGGTATTGAATCCGCCTGTGTGGAGGAAATGAAATCGGAGACATTCAATGTCGCGAAATTCTTCGGAAAGAATGACTTGAATGTTATTCTTGATGTCCTCATCAGTGCGAAGAAGTTTTGGCCAGTCCTTCCAAATCTGGGAGCTTATTGCCCAGGCATAGTCGTCATAGGACTTGAATGCGCTCATTTTGAGAAGAATAAATAAAAGGATGACTGAAGAAGGTCACAGAGCTCCCAAATGACTTTGGTTGTCTGGATATGAGATCTCTTCATAGTATAAGCAAAGATCATCAATCGGATTCTAACTTTAATTTCCTACCTCAGTAAAGGCTTTTGATGCTGCCTCAGAAAGTAAACCTGGTATTTAGCTGGGGAGGGGTAAAGAGGGGGGTTATGTACCTATGTACATATTGAGAGTTGGATTCAACAAGTTGACCAGTAGCTGAACAGAAACTTGCATTAAATTACCCTCGGTTTGAGCGCAGGCTGTATATTTCTAGCCTCTTAGGCGAGATGGTAACAAGCTCCAAAAGGTGCTAGATTGGAATCTTCTATGCAGATGTATTCGAACTTTCACCATCTGGTTGACTTAAGAAGATGCATTTGAGAATGGTTGTAGCCAAGAAATACATATAAGCCAATAATATAACTAAAACGTGAGCTAGAACTAAGTATTTGACATAAGTGTGAAGGAAAGACCAACGCCATGACATGCTTGCATCCTTGCCCTAGAGGCAGGTTGTACATTGAGTAAAATGACAACCCCGCCAATTTACCAGATGTCTGATCCTGATCGGCTTTCACACTGACCAGGAAAAACAGCCGTAATAGAAAAACAGACAAGCCAATGTTCAGTCTAATCCTTATCTTTGCCGGTGAGTCTCTGTCTCTCGCTTGAATTGCGAGGCGACTCTTCATCATCGGACCACCTCTCAGCATCCTCTTCACCGACTGCGAATATTGTCTCTTCGTCGAGTGACTCGCGATGGCGGGGTGCTGAGGAGAAGGGCTTAGGAGGAACTGGGGAGAGATCACGACGGCCCTCGGCGGCTGAGCTGCCAGGATAGTCCGGGGGAGCGTCATAGGCATCTTCTTCATCCAAACCACTGCCGAATGATCGAATCTCAAATCCATCGTCGTCTTGAGCAAGCTGTAAGAAATATTAGCACCTCGACTTTGCTCGTGGTTATATAGGGAAGAGCTACATACCTCATCACTCATGGCGAAGCGGCGGTTGTTGACAGTTGGTCGCCACAGGTAAGCCACAAATGCGATATCGAACAGGTAAACCAAGTTTAGCCAGCCATCAAGAACGAACCATCTCGCCTTCCAGTGCTCGGGCACAAAGCTGGCGTCACTGGTTCCAGCGAAAGCGAATGAGTTGATAAAGAAGAAACCGAAGATGACAATGATGCTGCCGAGGATACACCACCACAGCTTCTTGTACATCATTGCCTTGGTCTTCTGCTTTCTGTCGATAAGGTCCTTCATCGTCGCGTTCAGGGAGTTCAAGGTCCACACGTAGAAAGCCGTCAAGGTTCCGGCAAGGGGCAGGACAATCAGAAGTACCAAAGGACCAGCGCTATCAGGGGTGATCGAAAGACTGGCAACCGAGTAGACGACGGCGAACACGAAGTGACCAATGGCCAGGATGCGAACATAGATCATGGTTCGGCCTAATGAATGCTTGACCACACCGTAACCCATGCAGACAATTAGGAGGAGGAAGAAAGAGAAAGCATTTCTGCCCGCGTTGAGTACTGCTACAATGACCATGAGTGCCTTTGCGCCGCCATTTAGACCATGACGGTTTTGGTATTCTAGAAAAGTCAGACGGAGTCGAAGAAGGCAACGATTGTTGTCCCTTACCATAGAATCCCCACGTCATGAGCTGCTCGACGATCAAGAATACCACAATTGCAGTGATATAGTTTTGGACGGGCACTATTCAGTGTTAGCATAGCTTGGACAGCCAAGGGGAACCCAACATACAAATGTCGTAACGGTTCTGCACGTAAAGGAAGGCCCAGAATCTAAAATTATGTGTAAGCATCTACTCGAAAACTTGTCGAGTCCAAGGATATACATACGCTCCAACAACAGCGTACACGATCGTCAAGGCTCCATAAAATGGAAGCTTTGCGATTTGTGCAGCGGGAAGCTCGCCGTATGAGTTTCGGAAGGTAACCACTGCTTTGTAGTCCTGTCCAGAGTATGCATACGTGCTCACGCAGTAGAATCCAGTCTTTCTGACAGGGTATTTCACGGCGTCGGGGTTGTTTAGGTGGATTGCCTTCGAGATGATAGGGCTTTTGGCGACGTCGGTGGCATTGCTGGTGAGAACGAAAGAACCGAGCTGTTCTTGAGTGCAGATCTTTGCTTCGACGTTGGAGGCATCGCAAATTGTTTCCTTGACCTAAACCCAATGATTAGCTGCGTCGGTGATTCCCACGGTGTTGACAGACATACCTCAGCATCGCCGGACCTGTACTGGCCAATCAATCCCTCATCGGACCATTCAAAGATCACCAAACTAGCTAAAGGATCACTTTCCTGAGCTTCCGACTTGGTAAATTTCACCAAAATGAAGGGGTCGACATCTCCTCCCCAAGCTTTGCGACTGTACATCCCTGAGCATCGTTGTCGGTGCGCATCGTCGGATTTCTACAGAACAACGTTAGACTCGGACAGTTACCGATGGGATCAAGTGTAGGGACATACCAGTTCAGCATCATTAGCAAGCGCATAGCTTGCCAATAGGGCCGTCAAGCCCAAGGTCTGGAGCCAGCCTTTCATGGCGACTGTAGAGTTGAAGCGAGACTACGCTCCGGGATTCGAGATGAGGTCTTTAAGACCACACAGCATCAAAATAAATGATATAAGTAAGAAGATAGAGAGCTGAATATTGGTTGTTGTTCCGTTAGAAAATCGTAAGGCTAAGGTGTTCTTGTTTAGCCCGATTGCCCCCAAACCGGGGAAGCCGCGCGTGGCCATTATCTAAGCGGGCACCGCCACTATTTTTTAGTTTGGTCGACTTTTCTTCAATGTCCAGTCTACGGTCCAGGTTAATAGTCAATACTTTACAGCAGTCATCATGCCAGGAAAGGAACTGAACAAGCCATGCATGGAATGCAAAGATGCAGAATTTGAGCTCACTGTCCGCAAGAGACAGCTTTGCAGGTATGCGACATCTCGACAATCCACAACCCCTCCAGCTCATAGTTTCTGACTTTTTCTTTCTTTCTAGCTTATGCTTTAAGCGCTTTATAGCACATAAGGTTCAATCGCGCCTAAGCGTCTACAGAGCTTTTGGCTTAGATGGCCCCAAAACCCAGTTGCTTCTCCCTGTGTCTTTCGGTGTTTCCTCCTCGGTCTTGTTGCATATATTGAATACCGATCGACAACATCGTCTGGAAAATGGACGCCCTTTGGGATACGACTTCAAGATCTTGGTCATTGAACCTTCGACCGTTGCGGCTACAGGCATTCCCTTTGATAAAAACTACGAAGCTCTGGAAAAGAATTTCCCGATGCACACTATTAGTCGGATACCTTTTCATAGCATCTTTGAACATGTCCCAGAGATGGGAGGGATCATGCAGGAATATGCAGGATCAAAATTCATAGACGACAGCTCTCGGTCGAATGAAGAACGCTTAGCTGCCTTCCGTGCATCTATTTCCACTCCCACTTCCAGGACCGACGTCGACACCATTTTGCTGACCAGACTGATCGTTGAATTTGCGAAAAAGTCTGGATGTGAATCTATCATTTGGGGCGACTCGGACAGCCGTCTCGCTGCGAAAGCACTTGCAGGTGTCGCCAAGGGACGTGGGGCTTCCCTCACTTGGCAGGTATCCGACGGCATGTCTCCTTGGGGTGTGAGATTCGAGTACCCGCTTCGCGATCTGTATAAGGCTGAATTGCTCCAATATGCCAATGTCTGTGCCGAGCTCTCTGATATCATCATACCCGATCAACCGCCCTCCGACAACGTTCTTACCAAGAACCTTTCTATTGACGAGTTGATGCTGCGATATGTTCAGAACCAAGGTGCAAAGTATCCAGGTGTCATGGCGAATGTAGCGAGAACTGCAAACAAGCTCAACCCTTCCACTTCTGACAGTGCACCAACGTGTGCTCTTTGTGCTGGCCTAGTGGGAAATGTGGAGGGTAATTCCGGAGTTACTGTTGCAAATCAGGCAGAGGATAACCACAGCTCCCAATTCTGCTACGGATGCATGCGGTCTCGACCTGAGGAGCTTTGCTGAAGACAAACATTTTTTTATTCATGACAAAATTAAATGAACTAACGGCGAACATCCCGCATTACCTGAAATCATCAACATACAATCATGGGGTATTTGAAATTACAACCTCAATATCTTCATGCACCAAGTGCTACCTCGCTCCACCTCGCTCCAAATCATCTTCTGGATGACCCGCTCCACCAAACCATCTGCCAAATGACTTGTTCCGTGATTGTTTGGTCGGCTGGGGCCTGGTTGGAGGCTGGGGGGCAGCATTGTCCCTTCCCCCATGTCCCGACGGTTGCACGTCATCATACGCCGGTGGACTGTCGCCCGCAATTCCATCTTCTTGTCTGTCAAATGCATCGGGAAGACTGTGGTCAACTTCGACTATCGGCTCCTGTCTTCTACTCTGCTTTGAGGCCGCCTTGGCACCCTTTTGGCGCAGATGGGTTTCGAGAATGACGGCATTTCGGGTATTCGCTTTGTACACTGCATCGGCAAGATCACCAATGAAAGGGACGAGGCCAATGACGAAGTCGAGTATCACATTGATCAACATCTTCATGCGCAAAGCAGGAGGAAGTCCACCGTCGATGCCTTCACAAGATCTCACTACCATCATTGCGAGCGCAGCATCGCTAGCATCGCCGATGCTGCGGTTCATTTGTTAGCATTGGTCAGCTTCCGGTGCTAGTGCAATAGATCCTGGTGAAACTCACAATGGAATAAGGCCAATCACACTTCCCCAGCCGAAGCGGATTCCGCACAAGCTGAAAAGAGCATAGTCCAGCTGGTAAGCTCTGCGTTTGACCTTGGTTAGGACCTTGGTATCATTCTCAGAGAGGCCCGGCGGGATGGCCTTGCGACGCTTTTGGGTCTTTTTTCCAAATGTACGACCCAGGCGCGAAGCAGGAACTTCTTCGAAGTAGGGGTC